AACGAAAGGGATAAGTGACTGGTTAGTTTGATTTTGCCATGAGGCCCTCCAAGGGATAACTGTTGTGATGGCCACGGCGTATTCTGTTCTCTGATCCTCTGTCGGTGCTCGGGGTCAAATGAGATACGTGCGCTATTAGATTTACATAATTTATAATATTACCGGGATCAGTAAAATGGTATGATTTAGTTATATTGAAGAATTAAACGATTTTGTTTTGTTTTGACATGCAAGATTTAAATTAATACTTATGTAATACCCGGCCTCCTCTGCCGCGACGACGCAATATATAAAAAAAAATCGCTCTTCGTCAGAAAGCTACGTTTTCGCAGCTAGATTAAAAATGTCAAAATGACGGACCAGGATGAATAACTGAGGAAGAAGAACCTACTTCTAGTAAATAGGTTCGCATAACATTTTTTTTTTAAATCGTAATTTTTCAACAGTTCATGTTTTCATATGATGTTGACTTAGAATGTATGATCATGTAACAACCTTTTCTCTATAAAGAATAAATTTTCGACTTCAGATAGAATCGGAATACATATTGAAAACAGGGGAACAAATATTTGATTACGTTGTAAAATTGGCGCGTGCTGCCGATAACTACGGCTTCTGTTTCGGACAAAAGGAACTGATTAAAGAAAAGTTGTCTCAGCATAAAAAGGTCCATTTACAAGTATGCTTTAATCTCTGTAAAGTATTGAAAAAATATAATTATCAAGTATCTCAACGCGTTCCTTATTGACACATATTCTACATGTACACGTAGTGGTTTTGCCATACAGTTTATTGTGTGTAATGGTTAATATGACTTCCTAAATGTTAGCGTATGGAGACGGTGAAAGTGGGAAAGAGAGTATACATAGATTTATATGCATGGTCTAGAAAAAAAATTGGCCAAAGACATTGAGTTGTATAATGTAATAAATAAATACACAAACGTTTCTTTTTTTATTCACGTGTAGTTTGTCATTGCATATATGTAAACATTTGAAAAGGGATATTCGTCTCGTGACTATTACTTTTTACAGAAAGGTTTGTCCCATTGTTGAGGAAAGGTGTTTAGCCCCGTACCACCTGTACCGGTCACATTCCGGTACTAAATTCAATATATATTTAAATATATCTACTTTATGTTTATGCCTATTATCATTGTTGACATTTAATTGTAAATGTATGACGGGAGACGGCTGTGATAAATTGTAAAAACTTGTGCCCCATCCCTTGTTTAATTTTATTGACAACAAATTTATGTTTAAAGCTAAATAAATTTAAATTCTGAATATTGGCAAGTCTGCAATTAACTTCTGATGATGAATAATTACTGTTCAACAAGTTTGAATACGGAATTAGAAATCATATAACTTGGTTTCATAGTGCGGTGAGAAGTTGCAGTTGCCTGACGGCCCCTCTCTTGGGGCCCCTTTGGAAACCGTCTCATCTCGCTCGCACCACTTGTGTTTACTGCCTAGTCAGGTGACGTTATCGGCGCTATTTTTAACAGGGCTTTCCCGAACAATTCAAGTGGTCAAACTGGACATTTGGAACGGACTATGAATATGGGGATAGCGAGGTAACATAAGTGGAAGTGCATACAATACATACATTCATTAAAAAAAAACGCCTTTTCACGTGATGTCCCTTTAAGAGGACACGGACACTTACCGACTACCTCCAAATGTTACCACTTAGAACTGACCATAACCGATATATGTGATGGCCTCTTACTGACCACTTTCAATAGATTTGACGGCTATTAACTGACCATACGCTAGCGTCATGGTACATCATTGACCACTGATACTGACCATTTATAAGTGTCTACGATCAGTATCATCTTTAGGTATACAGGAAACGGCCACTAACTGACTACATATAAGTGTCACCGTACAGAACTAACCAACAGGTCTATAGCAGACGGCCACTAACTGGTCACCTCAAAATGTCACGGTACAGAACTAACCACTAGTTTAAGAGGGAATGGCCACAAACTGACCACCTGCAAATGTCACCGTACAGAATTGGCCACAATTCAGACACTGCCATAAACTGACCACCTCCAAGTTTCACCATTCCTAGCTGACCACAATGCTTAGAGGACACTGCCACAAACTGACCACCTCAAAGTCTGGCCCATGCAGACAGAGAACAGTGTGATTTTTCTCTGGTGAGACAAATGCTACGAGTCTGTATCGTTATAGACGTACAATCTACACTAGACAGTACCGAAAAGTATCAATTGGAATCATATTGACATTAGTAAGTAAATACCTGCTCAGTTAGAGCAAATATGTATAGGTATGTGAATAACAGGTATCAAATCGACAGGTGTTTAATTAATAGACATAGCACAGGTAAGATGACAGGTGTTCAGTAATATCCGTGCACTCTGACCGCAAAAAATGTTCCCTGTTGCTCATCTTGTACGGACCTTACATAATAATAACCGTATTTGAAATTCGATTAGTAGCTAGTGAGAATTGAGACATGTGATCAACAATAGTGTCGTAGACGTGTCAATATTGACAGTAAGGTACCTACTACAGTATAACGATCACACCGCTACACCGAGAACAACCGTGCATACAAAACGAGAGAAAATCGTCAGAAAGCATGATGTTATAGTTCATATGTTTCCAGTCTGTTGTCAAGGACAGCAGGTGCACGTGTAAGGTCGTGTAAACAGGTACCGTACATACTCTACAGGGACCATTTGTTTAAGTCTGATTACAATTTGATAACCCCCCGTGAACACAATAAGATTATACAAGGCCAAGCAGTATGATGAGGTCTAGAGACCCCTACCGTTATGTTGTACACATTGCATTTGCAAGAGGGTTGCTGATGAATTGTGTAGGCCCGCAAATTGAATACATGTGTCCTTTTCAGATTGTTTTCTTCAATATCTTCCGACTATATTCAAATTTATGGAAATTCCTAAAATTTCAAGAATGTGCATTTAATATCAATACCTACAGACAACACATACTTTAGTAAATTTGAGACATTGATATTATATATACCAATACCATTTTTGAACCATATCATTGAGGCCTATTACCTTTTGTTTTGAAAAATGGGTATGAGCTATTGTCATTAAGATGACTTCGCCATTTTAGGCGAAGTTAAAAATGAAAACGTTAAGATTTTCATTAAATCAGAAATTTTCCTTGCTAAGAAATGAAAATTTGGTTCCATTTAAATTTCATAGCTCTACCTGAGCCTGTACATATATGGACACAGGTCTTGAGCTGATATAGATATCCGAAACTGATATTGATAATGTTCTCATATTGTGTTAAAACGGCTCAGTGGACCGAATTAAAGGGATTTCAAGAGTGTATAGGTTTAACGTGTTTAATCATATACAAGTCTCGGAATAAATCAGTCTAATATGATCAACACTTAGCCTACATTTTGTATATTTTGAAATTGATCCCTACAGCATAGAGTGGTATACTGTACAGGTATTATACTTAACATATATTTTTATAACTGCACTTTCAAATTACGTATAGTATAGTGTGTGTGTGTGTGGGGGGGGGGGGGGGATTTATGATTGGGACGGGGGTTTGGGATGAGTGAATTTAGGTTTGGGGTGAGTGAATTTAAAAATTACAACGGGTTAATTCCGAAGAGGAAGGGGATTCCAATGTGTATGTTGAAGAGCTTGAGGAAAGGGTGTGCATGCATACATTTGTGTGTAAGGGTGGGTGTGGAGTGGGGATATTATTGGATGAGGTGGTTGTTTCTGCTTGTAAGGGAAAGTAAGGGAAATTGCGGAGTTTCGAGTCTGTACATGTGTTTGGGGGGAGGGGGATAACATTGGGAGTAGTGGAAAGGGGTGGGGTTCCCAGCTTCTACATGTGTGTGTTGGGGAGGGGGTAACGAGAAAAGTAAAATGTATGTATAAGAGGATAATGGGAGGGGGCGGTGCTCTGATCTTCTATGTGTGTTTGAGAGGACCTATTGATCAGTCAACAATCATTTAATATTCACGAAGAACACAGACGTATCTCATTAGCTTTACACCACCATCCATTACTGATTGACACAATACTCTATATAACGGTACCCTTATTTAAACGTCCTTACACATAGACAATCAGGCCGACTTAAATAACACGCACTGTATTCAATTAGCAGACTCGACCCGTAACATTGTAATTAACATAATAAAGTATAAATAGATCGGTACTGTTCGTCGCGATCTGTGTCTCTTTATTGGCACCCGGTTACCACGTGTGTAATAGTGTAGGTACTTGAGATAAAAACGTATGAACGCGTGAACTGTTTCTAGAATTACATTAATATTTCGTATGTTGCTTCAAGACATTTTCATATTGATATATATTTGTATGTAGTATACTTGTTTAGATTTTATCAATTTTAAACCATTTGAATCAAGAAAAGGTCATGATTTCCGATGATAACGCTGCATTAAGCACACTTAATTCCGCCTTTAATAAAATGTGGGTTGATCGGTGGAATTGGGATCACGGAGTGATATTCGTCCTCTAAGGTGTCTTAATATGTCACAGTTAATAATCACTAAAAGCATCGCAGTGATTTTCATATGCCCGATATAGCCAGTTGTGATTTTTTTTTCATATCTTATAGTAACAGCTGAACCCTCGGGCATTGAAAACATTAATTTCACTTCAAAATCGATCGATATAGCAAAGCATCACATGTAAGAGTCTTTGAGATAATGCAGCAAAGGAAAATTAACATATATTTTATCAAATAAACCTGAGATACATAATCAGAAATAACACGATTTGATATAATAAAAAATGTGTAATGTATAAGAGTTACTTACCCAAATTCCTTCCTTGTCCGAGGACGGGGCAAATCTACGTCCGCGCCCCATGTCTCACCTGTCAGGTGTTCACCTGGACAAATCAATCACTAATTAGCACAAAACTGTCACCGATTCAGTAAAAATAATCAACTATGACAAAAAAACATTATATTGGTTGTATTCCGTTAGTTTGGACCATTTCAACTAACCTGTTTTAAAGAACTGTCATACTTTCACTAACACCTCCAAGTATGATCCAGTAGACAAATACACACAATTCAATACATCAACGCTTATCACATGTACATACCCATATCAGGTTATGCACACATGGAACCGTGACACACACAACCTTCCGCCAATACAGGTAAAACGTAGTCCCATAGAAACCATTACTACAGGACGTTTGACAAATTATCACGTGAATTTATTATTTTATCATAAGCAATAATATATTTCAAAATGAATATAAAGTGTAGGTTCAAAAGAAACTCGATAAAAATAATGATTTTTAAATCCACGCGGATGAATTTGTTCGGGGTGGTTGCTAACGACGCCTGTAGTAGAACTCTATTAAGAAAGATAACTCCCACAGATCATAGCAGTTTTGTTGAAACGTTGATATCGACTGAGCTATTAAGTTAGCGGGTTTTGTTATCAGAATTCAGCATACTACTGTAACATTATCAAGAATAAATAAATCGTTTCACAGATTTGGAAACTTAATGCTGGGCCGAACGACTTGCCTATTATGACTGTTTAAATGACTCGTAGATAATATCCCTTCTTTTTTAACATTGATTCTTTGATCCTTTTTCTGTTATAATGTAGATATTCATCACTGTAAAAAATAAATAAACTAATAAAATACATATTACGTTGCAATAATTTTGATGTTAAACCTTAAATTATATATATAATAATATAGTTAACTATGAAGGCAGAGAGGTTGTATTTTAACAGCCCGACACGTGTATCTGCTAAGCCTGTGTTTGGCTGGGCATATTTTGCATTCTGTCTTAAAATATACTGTGAAATCAGATATTTTCGTTGGGCTCAAATTTCGTGGTTTTGCACGAAAAGAAATCTGTTTCGTAGGTTCATGAAATTTTGGATAACTAGTATCAAAGAAAGCTAGTAGTATCCTACTCATACGGAAAATGACTTCATGTTAAACCTGTAATGTCCTAACGAACATATGAAATCGCGGAAGAAAACCCAAGGACTCAACATAAAACTTCACAAAAATGAGTACTTTCACAGCATTTTAAATTTTACAAATCAATATATTTGCTTTACATAGATAGAAACTGAACTTGAACTTCAGGGTTCAGGCTATATAGACGGCTCAGTAGCGGAAAAGGTAAAAATTGAGGGTAAATATATTGACTGGATATATCGATATAAGGTAAAAGATGTGAACCCTTGAATTTTAAAGTAGGCATTTGATATCAGTAATACCGAAAGTATAGTCTAATATGGGTAATGGATCCGAATAAACAAATATTTGTTGGATGCGTATTATACTTAAGTAGTAACCACAGATTTTAAAGCTACCGTGCGGACAACGAAATTCATATTTTCGAGGCAAAATGTCCCTTAACCCTTTCACCACTTTATACCAAAATGGACTCATCCAGATCAATGTATGATAGAGTCTATGAAAGTTAACAAGGGGCGAAAGGGTTAAACAAAAACATGTTGCTTCGTTTCGATGATTCATCCACAATTTAATGCATTTAAAAAGTAAATATTTTCTCTGCGTGGAGTTATGTGTTAAGTGATTGCTTCCGTTGTTTATTTATTTTGTTTTGTTTTTCTTTTCTAACGCGTTTAACGATATCTTTACACAGTATTACACGTCTGAACTTAAACATTTGTCTTTAAGACGTCGATATAGCTGCGGAGGTTCTTTTTGACGCATATTATTTGGTATCAGGAAGTTTTGTTTTAACGATTTTTGGAATAGCTTTGACTTAAAAACCGAAGGCGTTGCTCTATAAAGCGTGCTAGACTCTCAGGAACGAGTTTAAAAACATCAAACACGAGTTCTTTTGAGCAATTTTGCATATTAAAAATGTTATAAAAAACAACAGTTTTGTGAACTGAAACTAGGTGCAAAATATCGTTGAGTCCCACAGTTTCCTTTTTCGAACCGCTGGTGGTTGTCGCGTGACAAGATACAAGATACAAGAAGATTGATATAGAGTTGTACATGTAAAACAATGAACATTAGCTCTGTAGAGTTATTATTACGACAAAACATGAATAAAAACGCATAGAAAATTACAAACAAAACAAAATAGCACAGCATGTTTGTTGAATCAAAATAAAAACAGCTTAATACTTGCAAGCAAGCAAACAACAATACATACAAACATGCGTTCATACTTACTATTGTGAATGAATATGTTCCTTGTGAATATGTGTTATTTTGCTGCAAAAAAATCATGTAAATGCCTCAATGTTTGAGGGCAAATATGTATTTATTATTGCCATCATGTCATTGTCATGTTTAAATGTGTGTAAAGCACAAAGGCATCGTTGCCTATTGCAAATTTAATAAAGGTTATACATACATGCATATGTATCACAGAAATCACAAGTACCACTTGTAAGCAAGCAAGCAACAATACATACATACACAGAAATTTTGTGATAAATTAGTGATGAAATTAATTGTGTACATAATTGCTTATTCATGAAAAACTTTAATCTTACCATCTTTTATTAAATTTATATTTCGAATTGTTCATATCTAGCAATTCAAGTGTGACTTGATACAAAACACGTTTATATGACATTTCAACGAAATTTGGCTATATACATGTTACATTATCCCTAATTGTAATTATCTACGTCACTATCTATATCCTTTGTGACATTTAAGATCAGAATCATGTGTGAAGTTTGTATATCCTTAAGCTCGTACACTTTGTAAACTTACTTTTACAACTCATTACTATTGTCCATCACATATGTATTACACAACAGGATTAGTGTAATAGCCTTTACCTTGTGGACACTGACCACGGGTATTTGATCTTACAATTAGTGACACCTGTCACTCGAAGCTTAGGTACCTTTATTGTACGTACACTTACAATTGATTTAACTGTGATATGTTGTATTGTAAATCAGTTAGGTTCTGGACTCTGTACGGAACACATCGGGTATATTTTGGACACTCCAGAATATCCTGCCGTCAAGTCAAAAGTTATCTCTTATTAAATTTCAAAGTTAAACTTTTATCAACTCTTACGTCATCATTTCAACAAGACAAAACGTGCAGAAAAAACCTTATGTTACATCACGGAATTAGATCTATCTAAGTCCGTGGTTACATAATACATACATACATATCACAGCATGTACAAGTTACTACTTGTTAGCAAGCAAACAACAATATAGCACCAAAAAACATTAAAAATGTAAGAGTGATATGGCATAAAGTTCATGCCACACACAAGAAAGAATTTAAATGGCATGGATGCCTAATATACATATATGCCAATATGGCAAAAACCCAAAAAAGAACAGAATATATGCTAGTATAGCAAGTTAAAAGAAAACATTATCATTTATTGTTAAGAGAAAAAGCTAAACATAAATTGAAATAAAAACCATTGAAATAAAAAAACATTTACACCTCACATATAGCACAACTACATACATAACTGGCCATCCCAGGTAGCAACAGCCTGCAGAAGGTATAATAGTTCTCGGCATACCTTAGCTCATTAGACAGGCTGTTCGATACCCGGGCGGCCTCAAAACGAAATGACATCTTTCCATACCTTGTGGTTCTAGCCCTTGGTACCGTAATGGATTTTTTTTCCTGAAATTATATAAGACATTATTTTCTCCACAGGGTCACTGATAAAAAAATCTGGTGCTATCTTATTTAAAATCTTATATACTTCTTTAGTCATAGTCTTTAGCCTGCATATATGTAAAAGGTCAAGATTGTTTTGTTTTAAAAGATCTCTAAATGTAGATGTATAATCATTTTCAATAAAGTTCATCACGCGCTGATTCGAGGACAATTTACATGTCTGCAGAAAAAGTCTTAAGATCTACATTAAGACTAAACCAATGGAAAAATACATCTACAAGTCGCTTATCTGTTTACCTCCGTGTGTTGTGTTGTTGTTGACATGCCTGGCATACTTGTGATGTCATAAAAGAAACGTGACCATTCCATTATGACGTCATCAACAAACATTTCCTAGCAGACGATTAGCTATAGAGTGACCGTGGTTTCCTAAGGTCCATAGTACCAACAGGAGATATAATACAGTAAGACATTTAAATTTTGGATTGCCATTTACCCAGGGGTCTTCTCATTTCATAAAAGAACTATATTCTACGCATTGTCATACTCTTTTTGAAATTATGAATTATCGTGATATTGTTATTTCTAATTTTCAATTTGGATGTGTCTCCTACAAATAACAAAAGATTGGAAATCTACAATGGTGAATATCTAATGATGTGTAAAAACCCTTCTTTTTTACTTACCTATATCAGAGACGTATGTATTATAAGTCTCTGCCTATATCAACTATGTTTCAATGAAAATGACAATTTTCGAAAATCTGTCAAAGGGAGGTAATTCAAAGTATTTAGATTCCCAATATAAATAGTTCCTCAGTAAATACTTGACAACTGTTGTATTCGTTGTTTCCAATAATTATTGTAACAATAAAGAAAATATAATACCAAACAGAACTACTGTCCGGGTTTGATGGTGTAAAAATGCATATATACTGAAAATTGTGTATGGATTATATAAAATATACAAGGAAAATATAACAAGATACAATTTGACGCTTTCATTGACTGAGGACTGTAACAAGCATAGATATGATGGGGAAGAGCTTAGAGTCTGTTGGAAAACTTGTGCCCAGATCCCATTGTGTATTTTGATAAAATAAAGATAAACCTAAGACTGAACTGTTAGACTTGTAATTGATACAGTGTTCTAAAACTGAAGTACACTTCACCATTCAGCTGTTTCGTTCTTACTTTAAACTTTATTTTATTATCGGGATAATATCCCAGTAATGCAAACATGATATACATATAGGATTCGAAAACAAGTACAAAGTACTTATGCTAATCCGTCTCCTTTATTTGTGTGTAAAACGACGATTGGACGGCACTGACGAATATTATGCATATATATATAGGTATATGGAAGAGAAGAGGATGGGGGAGGAAGAAGGGCAAGTGATGCAAAAGTGTTTAAAAAGGGGTTGATGGGGGGTAAAATATATAGGGGAGTACAGAACATTTACTGTATTATATGAGGAAAAACTGGTTGGAGCAT